GGAACGGACTTTTTGAGCTCGTTGAGGAGGACGAAGACAAGGACGAGGACGAGGACGAGGACGAGGAGGAGGAGGAGAGGGGAGGAGGAGGAGGAGGAGAGGAGGAGGAGGAGGAGGCGGAGGGGGGAGGGATAGAAAGAGAGAGAGAGAGGAGGGACGAGGGGGACGAGGAGGAGGTACTTGGAAAATGGAGGAGGAAGAAGAGAGAGGAGGAGGTGGAGGAGGAGGAGAGGAGGAGGAGGAGGAGGAGGACACGGAGGACGAACAGGAGGCAAAGGTATTTTGGGGAGGGAGAGGAGGAGTGACGTAGAGGGAGGGAGGGAGGGAAGGAGGGAGGGAAGGAGGGAGGGAAGGAGGAGGAGGAGTAGGAGGAGGAAAAGGAGGAGGCGGAGGAGGAGGAGGATGAGGATGAGGAGGAGGAGGAGGAGTTGGAGGAGCAGAGGAGCAGAGGAGCAGAGGAGAAGGGGGAGGAGGAGGAGCAGAGGAGAAGGAGGAGAAGGAGGAGGAGGAGGAGGAGGAGGAGGAGGAGGAGGAGGGGAGAGAGAACGACCGCTGGTCGGGATCGCAGATTGGGCGCCCCGAGCAGGGGAGGAGGGGGAGGATGAGGATGTGGCGTAACGGGAGGAGGACAGAGAGGACGAGGAAGAGAAGCTGGTTGAGGGCGGACCCCGGCCGCCCCCGCTCAGGCGTCGGTCGTCGTGATGGGCGCCGCGTTTCTCCGGGACCTCTCGATCATCGAGCGGTTCGCCGTGATAGGCGCGGGCCCCGCTGCGGGCTCTCTGGGGGTGGCTGGGTGGAGCGGGGGTAGGTGGGGGCAGGATCCCATGAATGGGAAGGCCTCTGTCCCCCCCTTCTCCCCCCTCCTCCCCCTACTCCTCCTCCTTGCCCCACTCCTCCCCCTCCCCCTCCGCTTCCTCCTTCTCCTCCTCCCCTCCAGGGGACCAGAAGAAGCGCGGAGTCTTCGGTTCTCCTTCTTTTCCTCCTCCTCCTCCTCCTCCTCCTCTTCCTCCTCCTCCTCCTCTTCCTGCTCCCTCCTCCTCATCATCCTCCTCCGTCTCCTCCTCCCCCTCCTCCCTCCTCCCTTCTCTGCTTCCCCCTCGCTGCGCTCGTCCTTCTCGTCCTCTGCCCCAGCGGCAGCGTCAGCACCAGCTTCGGCGTAGCAGGCTGGCTCGTCAGCGGCGGCGGACAGCAAAACATCCGGGGGGAAGAGGAAACAAGAAGGGGAGGGACGAAGAGGAGGAAGAGGAGAAGGATGATGATGATGATGATGATGATGATGATGACGATGACGATGATGATGATGATGATGATGATGATGATGATGATGATGATGATGATGATGATGATGATGCTGATGCTGATGCTGATGCTGATGATGATGACGTGATGATGACGATGATGATGATGATGATGATGATGATGATGATGATGATGCTGATGATTGTGATGGTGTGGTGATGGTGATGGTGATGGTGATGCTGATGCTGATGCTGCTGATGATGATGATGATGATGATGATGATGGTGATGATGATGATGATGATGATGATGATGATGATGATGAGAGGAGGAGGAGGAGGAGGAGGAGGAGCGAAGGAGGAGGAGGAGGAGGAGGAGGAGGAGGAGGAGGAGGAGGAGCAGAGGATCACAGGAGCAGAGGAGCAGAGGAGCAGAGGAGCAGAGGAGGAGGAGGAGGAGGATGAGGAGGGGGAGGAGGGGGAGGGGGAGGGAGAGGAAAGAGATAGAGAGGGATATTATTATATAATCAAATAGAAGTAGTGGTGCCAACTAATCGTTCAAGCATATATACACTACAACTCAAAGGCGTTTCCCTAGGTGAAGGTTGCCCTCAAGTGTCCTCGAGAAGCGGCTGGTCTACAGGAAGGGTTGTGCACCCAGCGTGGATCCACAGGCGTGACTTTGCGCAGATATTCAATTTACGAACTGCTGCCGTTAGGCACCGCCTTCAGAAATCAGACACCACGGCTGCGTGGCATGGGAGAAAAAAGTATTTATCGAGAGAGACCTATAGATATGTAGAGAGATGATGAAAGATGGGGGAGGATAAGCTAGGCCGCTCACGCCACACCTGACATCCGATCCCTCCCTCCCATCCCTTCACACTGCGCTGATGTTTTGTCTGACCACCGACGGTTGCCAATGGCGGACCTGGACCCCCCAAGTGACACCATCGTGTCATGCGCAGTCAGAATAGAGGAGCTGTGTGCGGGGAGGGAGACGAAGAAGCCCACCACCCGCCAAACCACCCCAACCCAACCCCAAGGCCCCAAATCGCCCCCCACTCCCGGTGGGGTGGGGGGGGGGGGCGTCGGGGCACCTTGACAAGACGCATGTAGAAACCGTGCGCTTAAGTCGGGCCTGTCCCTCTACAGGAGGAGTAGTCAAAAATAGTAAAGACATAGTATGGTTTTTAATGTATATGTTGTTTTATTGTTTATTTATTTGTTTGGTATTTTTTAGCTGTCGTCCAAAATCCGCCTTTAGGAGGACACGCCCGACTTAACCGTACCCCACCCCCAACCCGAAATCTGGGTCTTCGGGTCAGGTTGGGGTGGTCTGGCAGGTGGTCAGACGCGCGGCGCAGCGGGTGCAAGGCGCGGGCCTCTGAGAGCAAGGGTGCGCGCGCGGTTCGGTCGAGTTCGACTCGGTCGGCCCGGCTGCGCTGCGGCCGAGACTTGCGAATGGGGCACGTTGTGAAGAAGCCACGACGCTGGAGACATACTGCTTGGTTTCAGGGCCCTATCACTAACCGACTCCCCGTACCTGGGGTCCTGGCTTTACCCGAGACGAGCGGGAGGCGGAGGAGGAAGGAGAGCAGGAGTAGAAGGAGGAGGAGGAGGAGAGCAGGAGAAAGGAGGAGGGGAAGGAGGAGGAGGAGGAGGAGGAGGAGGAGGAGGAGTAGAAGGAGGAGTAGAAGGAGGAGAGCAGGAGAAAGGAGGGGAAGGAGGAGGAGGAGGAGGAGGAGGAGGAGGAGGAGGAGGAGCAGGAGGGGCTCCCCATCGCCCATCGCTCCTCGACAGGGGCCCGATAGCTGACCCCGCCCAGGCACTCGCGGACCCGCTGTCGGGGGCCCGTCGCCGCTCCGTAGGCGACGTGTTGCCGATTCCAGCTTAGTGCGTCCGCCCCCCGCCGCCCTCAGGCTGGTGCCCTGGAGAGTCCGGCGGTCGCACGATCATGGATCAAGGGGGGCGTAGATTGGTGAATTGGCGACGGGTCCCGTTTCCATGGGACATGGCGGATTTCCGCCGCCGAGCGAGGCGGCACCGACCGCATTTTGGTGAGGGCACCTCCCCCGATCCAAGGATTTGGCGACCGCGCGCCAAATCCATGGATCGCTAATCCATGTTTGTGCGCCCCACCCCCCCTGAGCTGGTCCCCTAGAGGGCCGTTGGGGTTCAGGCGGGCCTCGACGCTGCCGATGCCGTCCGGTTCGCCATGGGCAGAAAAGCCCAATGGCCCCCTCGTGCACGATGTGGCTGTCCTCATGGTGCAGTCGGACCGAGGTGTGAGATCGAGGTCGGTTCGGGGAGGGTGCCCTAATGCTCTTCGTGTCTGTTGGATGTTCTTGTGCATCCTGGGGGAGGGTACCCTCGAATGTTCTTCAGGTTGGCCCTGCGGAAGGTCTCATGTTCTTGAGGGATGTTCTTTTGTCCCAAGTTCGACTGTAGGACGATGGCGGTATATTCGATGGGTCTCGCGGGGTTCACGAGTCCGCCAGCCCGACGTTTTATCGTTCTGCTCCCCTCCCCCGAGCGTTGCCCCGTCAGAGGCGGCCAGGTCGCCCGCGGGTCACCAACCACCAAACCACCACAACCCACCCCGAAGGCCCCGATTTACCTTCCAATTCCAGTGGGGGGGGGGGGTCGGGGAACATTCCAAAAACACATATGGATCCCGTACCCACCCACCCGACCCGAAATTCGGGTCTTCGGGTTGGGTTGGGGTGGTCTGGTAGGTAGTCCGCCAGCCCGACGTTTTATCGTTCTGCTCCCCTTCCCCGAGCGTTGCCCCCGTCAGAGGCGGCCAGGTCTCACCGAGCGCGTTCCACTACTCGCAAAATGCCTACTCGCCAACGTCCGAAGAGAGCACATGCCCTCCTCTGTGCAATGGATCGTAAACCCCCGGCGGCGGATCCAGGCCATTTGTGAGCAGCTATTTTGCGAGCGCTGGAACGCGCTTGCCCAAGGTCGCCCGCGGGTGCAGGGAGGCGATCGCGCCTCGCGCACTGCGGGCCGGGCGGAGGGCTTCTCTGAAGTCGGGCGTGTCCTTTTACAGGGAGAATGTTCCGACGGTGGAAGATGTTGTGACTATTTATTTTTTCAATGAGTACGATTTGACTATTTTTCATGTTCGGGGCCTGGGAGCCCAAAGCGCATTTTCGAACCGTCCAACAATGCGATTCGAGTTTTTCCGCCGCCCCTCTGTCCCCAGTGCAGCCCTGGAGGCTCCGAAAACCACCTGGAGGCCCAAAACGCATTTTCGAACCGTCCAAACATGCGATTTGAGCTTTTCCGCCGCCCTGCCTTCCCCAGTGCAGCCTTGGAGGCTCCGAAAACCACCTGGAGGCCCAAAACGCATTTTCGAACCGTTCAAAAATACGATTTGAGCTTTTCCGCCGCCCTTCCGTCCCCAGTGCAGCCCTGGATGCTCCGAAAACCACCTGGAGGCCCAAAATGCATTTTCGAACCGTCCAAAAATGCGATTTGAGCTTTTCCGCCGCCCTGCCATCCCCAGAGCAGCCTTGGAGGCTCCGAAAACCACCTGGAGGCCCAAAATGCATTTTTTCGAACCGTCCAAAAATGCGATTTGAGCTTTTCCGCCGCCCTTCTGTCTCCAGTTCGGCCCTGGACAAACAGCAAAACATGACGAGGGAGCTCGGGGGAGCAGGGGAGGAGTTGGGGGCGGGTGGGATGGACCTAGCGCAAGAGTGGGCGCTCGCATCGGGCAGTTCCCAAGGGTCCACCTCCACGACCGGTTCCCGGTTCGGTTCCCGGTTCGGGCCCGGTTCGGTTCCACCGCCTCCGGTTCGGTTTGGTTTCGGTTCACGTCGGGTTTCTGGCGGGTTCTGGTTCCGTCGGTTCTCCTTCGGTCGGTTCGGTTCTGCGGTTCGCGGTTCGGTTTTGTGGTTCATTGTTTGTCATGCCGTATCTGGACCCTCCAGCAGCCTTTGAAATTGGCGACAGTTTCGCAGATTGCACCCCCACGGGGATGGCGAGGCCTAATCTGACTCTGCGTAGCACGCCACTCCGCTGGAACCCCCGGCAGCCCTCGAGAGTGGCGACAGTCTCGCAGATCGCACCCCAACAGGGATGGCGAGGTCAAATCTCAATCTACGTAGCAAGTCACTCTACTGGACCCCCCAGCAGCCTTCGAATGTGCCGACAGTTTCGCAGATCGTAGGCCCCCAAGGATGGCGAGGTAGGAGACAAGCTGGCACGCAGAAAGGAACGAGGTAGGAGTCAGGAGAGAGAAGACAGGAGATGGGAAGGAGAAGGTAGAGATGGAGACCGCAGTGCTCTATTCAAAACAAGTGCCCAACGCAGGAGGGTTGGGAAAAGCAGTATCTGGTTGAAACAGTGAGTGGAGCGGGAAAGGCCCGGGAGTCGCTTTTGGAGTGCCTTGGGGCGGTCACGCGACTGTCCCAGGAGATTGGACAGGCCGAGAGGGCCCCGATGGCTCCCAAGCTGCCCAGCCTTTTCCTTCACACTGCTTCAAAAACATAAATGTTTCAACGCGTTTCGTTCTGGAGGGGACTGGAGGGGGGTGCACGAGATGCGCGCTGCGAGAAGGCTCATTGGATCGATTTCGTGGGGCCAAAGAGGGTCCCAAGAAGGTTCCAGGAGGCTCCCATGACAGCCCAGGGCGGCCAAAATGCTCTCCAGGGGCCCCCAAAGATGGCCAACATTTGGTTCAAGCCACGTTGGTTCAATGAACGTTGGCTCAAGCCACGTTAGCTTAAACCACAGGTGGCTCAATTGTTTGTCTATTGTTCTGGTAATGGCTGCTTCGGCGTAAACCACTGGTGCCAAGTATACCATTCGCCGCAGCATGCCACCTGTGTTTGGCAGACATATGGCCACTTGTTATGTCTTTCAGTTGTGCTTGGTTTCACTGCTATGTGGACTATCAGTCCGATTCGCCAGCGTATCCAGTACTATCTTGTTTTTTTTCCGATGGGGACAGTGAGAGACAAAGAGCCTGATAGAGAGACAGAGTTTGCAAAGAGTTTGCATGCCGATGCACGTTCGATATCTCATCAAACGGAGGCACCTGCATTGCCGAATCATTCATCAACCAGCAAGGCGAGTGTTCTTGGCCGCTTTCCATTGGTCGGGAACCGCACAGCTCTGTCTCACAGCTATGCAGATGTAAGTAAGATGGCGTGGGTGCATTTCCCCAAAACCGGGACATCCATCATGAACGTATTCTTGACTGCTGGTTGCCCAACCATGCCTTCAAATGAGTCTGTGTCGGACGTGGGGGGGGGAGGAGCAGGGCATGTCTTATTCTCAAAACTAGCCTCCAAATTCCATTCGTCGTGCTATCCGGGGTTTACGGTGTGCGAGAACCACTACCCAATTTCACTTGGAATGCGGGCATGTCCTTTTTGCGGTCCATCTGATCCAGCTTTGACCGGGAGACCTATGAAAACTGTCCGTGGTTGTCGTGATTGGAACCTGCATCGCGGAAATTTTGTGACAATGTTACGCCAGCCAGAGCAACGCGTTGTGTCTTCGCTTATGCATGGACAACATGATTGCAGGAATTTCGAGGGAAACATATCTGAATATGGCCAACGTGTAGCTGGGTGCTACACAAACATGTTGACTGGTTATCCGTGCGGCTGTGAAGACCCAGCCAACGCAAGCAGAGTATCAGTTGCAATCGAAAGGCTTCGGACAGGATTTGTGTTTGTGGGTCTGGTTGAAGAGTGGTCTCTCTCAGTATGCTTTTTCCACGCAACATTTGGGAGCCGCTGCAGCTCCCGCGATTTTCTCAACGTCCGCCCTGGCGCGGAGGCAAAAAAGAAAATGGGCTCCTGTGGCGACGGCCCCAGAGACCCTCACAGCGGCAAGTGCTTTGACAGCTCGTACAGCTACTCCACCGAAGCGCTCCAAGGCTGGACAGATCCGTACGACGGCCCGGTCTATGCGGAGGCCGTTGCCATCTTCTGGAAGCGAGCTGCCACCATGGGCGTTGACGCAGAAGCTTGCCAGACTGCGATATGCCCGGAATTTGCCCATTTGTTCTGACATGCGCGCTAATATCCAAGTGGCATCATACATTCTGCCGACCCCCCAAGAACGAGACAGAATGAGGAAGAGAACGCACTGGACGACAACGACGGTGAGAGTAAGCAGGAGAAGTAGGAGGAAGAGGACGGCGTATAGCCCCTTGGGGTCAAGTGAGTTCTTCGGGGGCTGCCGCTGTCAACATTCCCCAATCAGTGCTTGCACTGAAGGGGCCCTGGCGGATCTCAAAGGATTTGGCGAAAGTGGGCGGCCGATTTCGTTGGGCGGCCTGGTTGCCGGGTTCGCGATTCCGGGTTCTAGGGTTCTCGCTGGTGGCGGATATCCAAGAGCTGAAAATCACGGGTGTGTGGGTGGATGCGAAGGGAGACGACGGTCTCCGTTTCCAAGCTCAGGGTGCTTGTGATGAGCACCCGCAGTGGCAAAAATGGGCGCGCTGAGCAATGCGCCTTGCATTTGAACTTCTACGTCAAGCACCTCGGGCGCGGTGGGTTTGCCGTCGGAGGGTTGTTCGGAGAGGATGATCACACCGAGGCATCGATGCCTTCGACGGCGTGTGTTCACCGCCTTTCCTCACCACCCACCAAACCACCCCAACCCAACCCGAAGGCCCAAATTTATCCTCGATTTCCAGTGGGGGGGGGTCGGGGAACGTTGAAAAAACACATGGTATCCGTACCCCCCCCAACCCGAAATTCGGGTCAAATTTGGGTCTTCGGGTTGGGTTGGGGTGGTCTGGTAGGTAGTCATTTCCCTTCTTCAAATAGCGGCTCCGAGTGATCAAAGTGCACGCGTCTTCACGACTGTAGAGGCAAGCTTAGCATGATGACCTGCGCGCGGGTTGAGTAATAAATAAATAAACAAGGCCAGGCCCCCGCCCGGGGCGTCCTCCGCCTCGATCACATCTGGATTACGCTCCCGGTACAGCGCTTCCTGGCCTCCTTGGGAGCCCCCAAACGCCCAAAGACAGCCCAAGACGATCCCGGGAAACCCCCAGAGCGAAACAGAATTGCCCCAGACGCTCCCAAGCAACCCAAGATAGCTTTCGAGCGGCTCTCTCTGCAGGCTCCCAGGAGGCCTCGAGATTGTTTTTTTATCCTCTGGGGGGTAACGCTCGTTACCCGGGCCTCTCCCCCCCCCCCCCCCCCCCGTAACGGTAACGCTCGTACGCGGGGGGGGTCTCGGTCTTCCCCTCCAACATGCTGGTGCCCGAAGGCATGCGCACTGTGGTGTGGTGGTCGCAGGCGCACTGTGGGCGCTCGCAGGCCATTGCGGCGCTCGCATGCGCGATGCTGGTGCTTGCGGGCTTTGCGCTTGTACTCGAATCGTCGTCGTCGTCGTCGACGGCGCCCGAAAAACGGCCTCCGGAGTCCGACAAAGGCACAAAAACAACGTCGTCGTCGTCGTCGTCGTCGTCTCGTTGCCGTCGTCGTCGTCGTCGTCGTCGTCGTCGTCGTCGTCGTCGTCGTCGTCGTCGTCGTCGACGGCGCCCGAAAAACGGCCTCCGGAGTCCGAAAAAGGCGAAAAACGTTGTCGTCGTCGTCGTCGTCGTCGTCGTCATCGTCGTCGTCGACGGCGCCCGAAAACGGCCTCCGGAGGGCGAAACAGGCGGCAAACGTCGTCGTCGTCGTCGTCGTCGTCGTCGTCGTCGTCGTCGTCGTCGTCGTCGTGCTCTATGGCCTTCCCCCCTAACATGCTGGTGCCCGAAGGCATGCTGTGCTGCTCACAGGTACACTGCGGTTCTCGTGTGCTACCATGGCACACGCAGGCTTGTGCGGGGTGTTCGAGGACGAGTTGCGCTGCTCGCGAACGTTTTCGGTGCCGACACGGTTTGGCATGCTGTTGTATACGCGCGCGTTGTGGCGTTCGCAGGCACGCTGGTGGTTCTCTAGCGCCCGCTCACATGTGTGCCGCCGCGGTCGCCGGTGCTCACACGCATGGCGCCTTGACCGCAGGCGTGGCGCGGTGATCACAGACCGCGATGGCGGGGATAAGGAGGAGGAGGAGGAGGAGGAGGAGGAGGAGGAGGAGGAGGATGGGGAAAGACAGTTTGTCATCCAACTTGCTCGCAGCCTGGGGGTCCCCACATAGCGGGGCTGGCGCGGAATTGCATCGACGCGGCGGCGACCCCAGCGCGGGCGTTCATGGTTGAATGCTGCTAGGGGGGCCCACTCGGGCCCAAGAGGGTGCCTTCCGAGAAAGCATGCCTGCTTCAGTGTCTGTTACTATTACTCCAGCCTCTGACGTGTTCGGAATTCTTGTGTGTATTTGTGTGCCAAGGCGCTTGTACGGCCTCTGGCGCATTCAGTGCACAGGGCCTTCCCGCGCAAATAAGTATAACAGGATCTCTGATGCTATCTGTTGTCTTGTTGTCGGGCTGGGCCCTGACTGGGGTTCAGACGCGCAAGTTTTCCGAGCCGCGTCAAGCCGCGACGACGACGAGGGCCCTCGTCGTCGTCGTCGTCGACGGCGCCCGAAAATAAACGCCTCCGCATGCCGAAAAAGACGGGAAAACGTCGTCGTCGTCGTCGTCGTCGTCGTCGTCGTCGTCGTCGTCGTCGTCCTCGTGGACAACGGCGCCCGAAAACGGCCTCCAGAGGCAGAAAAAATATCGAAAAACGTCGTCGTCGTCGACGTCGTTGACGGCGCCCGAAAAACGGCCTCCAGAGGCCGCAAAAGGCGAAAAACGTCGTCGTCGTCGTCGTCGTCGTCGTCGCCGTCGCCGTCGCCGTCGCCGTCGCCGTCGTCGTCGTCGTCGTCGTCATCGTCGTCGTCGTCGTCATCGTCGTCGTCGTCGTCGTCGTCGTCGTTTTCATCGTCGTCGTCGTCGTCGTCGACGGCGCCCGAAAAACGGCCTCCGGAGTCCGAAAAGGCGAAAAACGTCGTCGTCGTCGTCGTCGTCGTCGTCGTCGTCGTCGTCGTCGTCGTCGTCGTCGTCGTCGTCGTCGTCGTCGACGGCGCTCGAAAACGGCCTCCGGAGGCCGAAACAGGCGGCAAACGTCGTCGTCGTCGTCGTCGACCTCGTCGCTCGTCGCTCGTCGATCATCGTCGTCGCGCGCGCGGGCGCGGGCGTGGTGCCGGGACCACGCGGCGGGCTTTGCGCTTGTACTCGAATCGCAAGCCACTGTGGTGCTCTCAGGCAGAGAGTGCTGCTCGCGCGCATACTATGGCGATCGCAGAGCGCCCCTGCCTCGCCATACCCCGCCCAGCCCAAGCGTTACCGTTACCCGAGGGGCACGACCCCCCCCCCCCCCCCCCGGGTAACGAGCGTTATCGGCCAGAATAAAAAAACAATCTCCTCCAAGAGACCTCAAGGGAGCTCCGAGAGGCCTCCCGAGAGCGCCTGGAGAACCTAAAATCGTTAATTTTCATTCGAAGAGGCCCCCAAGACTGCCCCAAGACGGCCCAAGGGGCCCCCAAGACGGGTTGAGACGGGCCAAGAAGACCCCAAGATTGCCGAAGAGGCGCCCAGGACAGCTCCAGACCACCTCAGAGCAGGCCCAAGATGGGCCCAAGCGAGAGGACTCCGGGACCTCCCGAGGCCCCCAACACACTCCAGACCCTTGAGAGGCCCCTTAGATGCCCCGACGAGGCCCCCAAAACAGCCCAAGAGAGCTTTGAGAGCCGTCCCGAGAGTGCCCGAAAAGGGTAAAATCGTTGATTTCTGATGTTTTTTTCTACGTTTTTCGCCTTCTCACGTTCTCTCGCTTCCAATGCTCAAAGACCGAGGAACTTGAGAAAAAAAGGGAATTCCAGAGATCCCCAACAAATGCTCTCCCCCCCTCCCTGGGGTTCCACACCTTCCCAGAACATCTGCGGAACGCTCCTGGTACCGCGCGCTCCCCCAAAGCGCCCAGAGACAGCCAAAGACGACCCCAAGAAGCTTCCAGAACGTCAAAGAACGGCCCAAGACGCCCCCAAGCAACCCAAGATAGCCTTCGGGCGGCTCTCCAGGCTCTCAGGAGGCCTCCAATAGACCTGGGGCCGGCACGGAAACGGAAAGAGCGCTTCAGAATCTTGACCGAAATTTCTCACACCACCGTTCGTATTGGGAGCCTTGGCGTTGAAAGCTGGTTACGTCACCCCTCGCTCTTGGAAGCCTTGGTGTTCAGAGATTGTTGCGCTGCCGCCCGTTTCTGAGCCTTGGCTGGGCCTTGGTGTCAGGAACTTGATACGTCACCGCTCTCTGCTGGGAGCCTTGGTCTTATCAGTTTGTTTACGTGACCGTTCGCTCTTGGGAGCCTTGGTGTGAAGTTTTTTCGGTTCGTGGTCCCCCTCTTGGGGCCGTCTTGGGGCCATCTTGGGCCGTCTTGGGCGCCTCTTGGGCCGTGTTGGAGCCCTCTTGGGCCGTTCTGGGGGCCTCTTGGGAGCCTCTTGGGCCGTGTTGGGGCGGTCTTGGGGGCTTCTTGGGCCGTCGTCAACGCCGTGAAAGCCGAAAAGCCGCGTGTGCTAAAAATGCACGTTCCCTTTAGGGAATTAATGATTTTGGCCTCTTGGGACGCCTCTTGGGGGCCTCTTGGAGCTTCTTGGGGGGCTCTTGGGGCCTCCTGGGAGCGTCTTGGGGCGAAAGGCTAGACTTTTCGGTTCGTGGTCCCCCTCTTGGGGCCGTCTTGGGCGCCTCTTGGGCCGTCTGGGGGCCTTCTTGGGCCGTTTTGGGGGCCTCTTGGGAGCCTCTTGGGCCGTCTTGGGGCGGTCTTGGGGGCCTCTTGGTCCGTCGTCAACGCAGTGAAAGCCGAAAAGCCGTAGATGCTAAACATGCACGTTTTCCCAAGGCAAATCAATAATTTTGGCCTCTTGGGGCCCTCTTGGGACGTCTCTTGGGCGCCTCTTGGGGGCGTCTTGGAGGCTCCTTGGGACGACTTGGGGCTGTCTTGGGCGGTCTTGGGCTCTTCTGGGTAGGAAAAGGGGAGAGCCCGAACACCATACAAAAACCTTTTAGGGACAACCCGAAAACGGCCATTACCAACCCTGCGTCTCCGCTTCGCCCCTCCCCTGGAGCCCTCCCTTAAGGGCTTCGCCCCACACTAGAACGTCATCACTCGTACCTCGCTCTTTCCGTTACCTCAAAGGCCGAGGAACGGAACAAACGGACGGAATTCCAGATATTCTTTTTGTTTTCAAGTTGGCGTTCCTACTCCATATCCTCATTCTCCTGCCCCATCAAGACTTCGGGGTCACATGTAAAGATTGTTCAGAAATGCTGTTGAACTCTCTGCCGCTGTCTTGGCACTCTCTTGGATCGTCTTCGTGTCTTCTTGGCTACCCCCGAAACCACCGTAGAGATCGAGATCTCATGATCCCATTTGGAATTCTATCTTTTAAAACTCAGCCCATGCCTATCTTTCCACGAAGACCACGAGAGGCATCTCAACAGACCGTGGCATGCATCCAGAAAATGTCGAACCCACAGCCCAGGCACGGCAACTTGAACAACAAGGGAATCACACAATACTTTTTTTTCAAGTTCGCCCCCCTATCTACTCTTGCATAACAGATGATAATCAAGGCCAACCTCAGCTCCCAGATGTGATCCCAGGAAGCTTTTGAGGGCCCCAAATCGTTGAATACCGAACGGGAATGAATGATTTCTGCGTTCCCCTAGTTCCCCCCTTCTATGCGATTCCGAGGCTTGAGCAGGGCCTCCAAGAAGGCCCCTGGATGCAAGAAACGACCAACATTATATTCCATGGGTTAGCTCATCAAGCCTAGCTAGAACTTGAGTGCGCGCGAAGCGCGCGCAGTGGTTCTATATCTTTTATATCTATATACGTTTTTTTTTTTCACACAAACACCATATACATATAACGGCGCACCGGGTCCGGGGGCCCGGGGCCGGGACCTCGACCACAAATGTGCGCCCCGGGGGGCCCGGAGGCTCGTCGGGGCTTGCCGGAGGCCTCCCCAGTCAGACAAGACGGCCCAAGAAGCGCCCAAGACGGCCCAAGAAACTTCCAAGAGGCCTCCAAGAGGGCTCCGAGATGCTGAAGATGGCCTCCAGACGTCCAAGGAGGCCCCCAAGAGGCCCCAAGAAGCCTCCAACATGCGTCCCAAGAGGGCCCCTAGACGCAACAATTTGCCCATTCCCTTCGTAAAACGTGCATTTTCAACAAAGTTGTCTTTTGGGCTTTCCGACGTTACAGGACGGCCCAAGAGGCGCCCAAGACCGCCCCAAGACGGCCCAAGAAGCTTCCCAGAGGGCCCCAGGACAGCCCAAGAGGGCCCCAAGACGGCCCAAGAGGCGCCCAAGATGGCCCAAGAGGGCCCCAAGACGGGCCCAAGAGGGGGCCCAGAGGGGGACCACGAACCGCAAGCTCGAGCTTTCCGCCCCAAGAGGCCGCCAGGAGGCCCCAAGGAGGCCCCTCAAGAGGCCCCAAGAGACCCCCAAGAGGCCCAAAGGAGGCCCCGAGAAGCCCCAAATCGGGCCCCAAAATGCTTCGAACCTGTTTCCAAGAGGCCCCCGACAGGTTCAGAGGCTCCCGAGAAGCTACGTCAAACTCCCAGCGAGCGGCCGGACGAGGCCCCCCAAAAAATCCCAAGAGGGTTCCAGTATTTGTATCTTTCAGCGCTCTCTGGCCTTCTTCCCCCTGCCCCCTTCCCTGCGACTTTCGTTGACTCAAGCTCGCCTCCTCTCCATTGCCTCTCTCTGCCTCTCTCTCTCTCTCTGTCTTTTTTTTTTTCTCTCTCTCTTTCTCTCTCCATCTCTCTCTCTCTCTCTCTTTCCTTCGCTCTCTGTCTGTCTGTCTCTCTCTGCCTCTCTTTCTCTCTATCTTTCTCTCTCTTCCTTTCAGATTCCGTGTCCTTGCGACCTTCTGCAGTCCCCGACGTCGCCACGGCTGGATCCGCTCGAGCGTGTCTTGTGATGTGCGGCGGTGCGAAGCCCGTCCCACTGATCAAGGCACAGGTACGAAATGATGGGTCCATCATTTCTTGCCTTCCCATGTGCGTTTTCCCAATCGATTCCTGGGCCCGAGGTCGCAAAAATTACGACGTCGGAGGTCTGGGGAGGCGGGAAGCACGACCTGGACCTCCGACGTCTTGGAAAAATCACGACGGCGGTTTTTGTCAATCTTCGGGCGTCCTGAGCCTCGGAGGCCGCCGCCTCCGACCCCCCATGGGAGGACGGGGCGGCCGGGGAGGTCCAAAAACATCCAGGAGGGCCTCCAAAGGCTCCCTCGACCAGACTTGTGATGTTCCAGCCTACTCTGGCCTCGAATCTCGTGCCTCGATCTGCGAACCCTCGAAAACTCGATGCCCTCGATGCCCTCGATGTCCTCGATGTCCTCGATCCTTGTATCCCTCAGCTCCGCCGTCCTCGATGTCCACGAACTTCGTTGCTCGCTCCTCGGCCCCAGACCCCCGATGTCGTGACGTTTTCATGACGTCGGCCCCCAGAGCTTTTTGGGGCTTGGTGTTCCAGCCTGCTTTAGCCTTGATCGCCAGAAATAATTTCGAGCACCAAAAAAGCATCGCAACTCGATGGTTTTAACGTGTCGGGCCCTGGGGAACACCCGTCCGACACTGTTTCGACAATGTTTCGACACTCTTTCGACGCTTTTCCGGGTGCTCGACATTATTTCTGGGATGTGTTCCTTAAGTACGATGGGAGCAACATAAGACTAGACGTAGGAGTGACCTTTCGGCGGAGTGACCTTTGGTGCGGGCCCACTGGGGTCCCCCGATCGCGATCGCGATGCGAGAGTAGCATCTTGCGCGCTTGTGTTTGGTCTCCCCGCGGCCCCCCAAAAATCGCGCACCAAAGATCACTCTTACCCAGGGTCACTCTTGCGCGCAGCCGACTAGCGGGGGCGCAAAGATAACCGCGCATCGCGGGTCGTCGGCTGTCGAGGGCGGACGCAGCGACGCCCGCAGTCCCACGGGCTTGGGATGACGACGAGTCCTTCAGCCTGTACGAGGTGGCGAAGGGACTGGCAGGTCGAGGAGAGGGGGGTACGAAGAGCGCAACCGAGCTCCTCGCCCTGGCGCAGAGGCAGGGCGGAGGAGCGGATGCAGCGTCTCCGTGGGATCACGGACCGCGGGTGAGGACACCAGAGCCGCTCGCGGAGTTCGGAATGGGAGAAGAAACAACGGCATGAACATACACGCCGGTCGTTGAAAGCAGGTATTCGTAGAAATCTAGATCCCACGTTGTTTCAAGCGCTTTCCTACTTCAAGAATCGGTGTGTCTTTGCTGTTTTCTGCTACTCTGTGGGCGGCCCGACCCCAATCGACTACATCCCCCTTCCTACTTCATGTTTCCATTTGCTTCTTCCGACACGTTCGACGCTCCGCGCGGATTTGGTGCATTTGCGCTGGAACCCCCTGGCGGCGCCTCCGGCGCCGTCCCAGGCGCGCTCTGCCCACCAGAGAGGGGATCACAGCGCCGATCCACGAAATCCGCGCGGATTTCAGAAAGTTTACGTTTATGCAATATGTTGTACCTCTAGCACCGACCCCCGCCTCAGGCGTCATCGCTTCGGTGTTCTACTTCTTCACCATCATGTCCGGCGCCCTGAAAGCCTCCTCTCAGGGCCTTGTCGACTCCCCAGAAGCGGGAGGGCAGATGTGTCCACGATTTCGATTCGGTGATGCGTGCCGATGTCAGCGCATGGCATCGATCGGTTCGATGACAGGCAGTGAGTGGGGGGGTGCGCTGAGAGTGGACAGGCATTGAAAGGACAGACTCGAGTGATGATCTTCAGAAGGGGGATTGATTGGGGACATGGGGGTATTTGGGGTGCGGAGTCAAGAAGCCATACGCACAACGGCGAGTGGGCGACGCAACGCATTGCACTGTACTGCTGCTAGTGGCCGCTGCCTCCGGCTAGGCGCGTGGGCAGTCGAATGCACGATTGGCACCGCGTCGGAAGCGAGAGAAGAAAACCGCATCACGACTGTGACGCAGGAAAACGGCACGCCCCACGACTGTGAAGCAGAAGAGTGAAGCGCAGCACGACTGTGAAGCAGAAACAAGCGCGTGCAGAGGAGGAGGAGGAGGAGGAGGGAGGAGAGGAGGAGCAACTGAGTACAAGCGAAATGCAGGATCACTCGTGCTCGTCGACGAACTTTGTAACACAACGACACCATTGTCGTTTGTCTGCGACGCACTGGGAGAGAGCCGAATCATATTCAAAACAGCTTCATATCTTCTGGTACAGACTTTGCCCACTCGTGACTGGGGCGCCCACACTTCCGCGCAAGAGTATCAGCGATCGGTCTCACGCTGCCTGGTTCGACGGTGAGTTTTCGGAGCACGTCTGCGTTGCTGGCGTTGCCAAGTTTCCCAAACCACATGCGTTGATGCTGAAGTAGTCGAGCACTGTAGGGCCTTACCCCGCCTGTTGTAGCACCCTCCTGTTGGGCACTCTTGAGACATAAGAACGAGGAACGTTCAGAACATAGCGAAGGCACCGCGCCTAGAACCCATCCAAACGTCGCCTGTCGCTCTTATATAGCAGGTCGAGTTCAACAAATACATCACTTTAGTCGTAACCAGCGCCCCGAGTACGGTCAGCTTTCGTTCTGTACTGATGGTCGTATGCTTCCAATCCCTAGTGCATCTTTGAAATTTACCCCAAGCTGCCCCCAATCGTTTAACCAGCTCTTGCTTCATGTTGCCGAAACTGTAGATTGTCGCCCCCATATATTTCAAGATCTCGGTAGCTGGGCCCACATTATCATCTGGGGCCAAACGTTGGGCGTGGCAGCCTAGTTGAACCAGTTGAAACTTATCCCAATGAAGCTCCATCCCCACCTCTTCTCCTGCCTAGCAATTGCATCTAGCATGCTTGTAATTGACCAGCGGGTCGCCCAACTAAGAGGGTGGCGTCGGCGTGCAACAGAATAGACAAATCTCCAGCAGACAGTGGTTTGAACGATTCCTCGTCCAGTTTGTCTGCGTTCTTGATGACCACGCTCATCACCATGACAAATAGGAACGGTGATAGAGGGCAGCCCTGTGCAACTCCCAAGAGTTAGTTTCTGATGCTTGATCTCTGTCGCCCGTCTGTCACGAAAAACATCGGTTTTCGTAAATATCACCGTTCGAGAAAGCATGTGTGAAGGTACACCAAAAGTGCGCAGTGCGTCCAAAAGAAAGGCCACGTTGATGAGTCGAATGCTTTCTTCCAGTCCACGGCAAGCATAACGATTGCACATCCTCGTTATGCGTGTGATATCTAGATATGTTTTCGCACAACATGAATTTCATGGTGCCCTTCCGTCTCCTAAAACCGCATTGTATCATTGTTAGTCTGTTCTCGGCCTCTTGTAGTCTCCACAGCAGTAGCGCTGCCAATGGCTTGTAACTCGCACAGAGCAGACTGATCGGCTGGTAATTGTCGCACTGATCGACTGGGCCTTTGTTTTTGTAGATAGCAGTCACATCAGCATGTCTCCATTCCGTTGGCACCTGCTTTTCTTTCCAACACGCGTTGGCCAATGACGTAATCCATATTAAACCTTTAGGTTTTTTTGGTCAAGGCCTTCCAAAACTCTGCTGGTATGTCGTCTGGCCCGGAAGCTTCTCCCCGTTTTAGTTGTGATATTGCGAATCCAACGTTTTTGTCGGTAAAATCGGCGTTCGTGATGGGCAGGGCGTTTCCCAGTGGTGTTCGATCCAATACTGCCGCCAGCCGGACTTTCCACTGTATTTCTTCCAATGTATTTTCCGCCGTCTCTTCGCTATCAACAAGTTCACATCGTAGGTTGCGGAGTCTGCCTTGTTTGTGCGGCTTCGACCTGAATACTTTTTTCAAGGATGCCCAATCCCCTCCTTGGATATGTTTGTCCATCCATTCCGTTTTGTAGATTTTGTTGATGTCCGTCCTTTTTTCAGCAGTATTTTCCCTCCTCCGTATGATTCCGTAGTCTTGCCTGGCTCCTTTGCTGTATCAAGGCCAATACTTCTTCTGAAGTCCAATTGTATTTTCCCAGTGCGGAAGCGTGCTTTTTGCGCATCCATTGCGTATTTTGCAATGTCCCACAAGTCGTGCACATCGTTTGATTCCGGCTCGGCGTTCTGCAGAAGTGCGTTTGTAAAATGTTCACGGATTTCTTCGTCATCCAATGCAGCCGCGTCCGTCTCAGGGCGGCGTTGTCGCGTGTCCGTATGCATCTCCAATGCCATTGTACAATTGACGAGGAAATGGTCTGTAGCCAACGCTGCACCACGCTAGCTTCGAAGAGACCTGATAGAGTCTAGCGCGCCCGGCGTGCAAAAGATGAAGTCCAACACGTTGTGCGTAAACATGTCGATCGGAGCTTGAGCGGTGATCTTGGCCTCTCTGAAAGTCATTTTTTCTTACAGGTCTTGTTGCATAAACGTGTTGGCAATGATCAAACCATTGCCAAAGCAGAGCTCCAAGAGGAAGTCTCTGTATGGTCTTGCCACTTCGCGCATGGCTTCCTGCCCCCAGCCATGCAGTCCCACCACATCATCTTCGCCAGGACGCGCTCGGCCAACTCGTGCATTCAAGTCGCCGGATACGAGCTTGCCGTAATTTGTGCGACAAGTCTTACATTCTATATCGAGCGCGTTGAAAAAATCAATGCGTTATTATGGCGGTCGTTGGTTATGCGGTGCATATCTCATTCGCGGTGCAGTAATGAGCACAACACCAGCCCGCGTGCCTTCAGCACAGTCTGCCTCAGATCAAATCACTTGGTGGTCGTCTTCGAAATGTACTTCTGCTTTAGGTTTCTGAGTCTCCTGGGCGTACAGCACGGCAATGCCATAGTCAGTCATGTATTGTATGAGTTCAGTTGCTTTGATATGCGTAAGCCCTTTTACGTTCCAAGTTTCGGGGGCCGCATGCGAACCCTACCCCTACCCCCCATGATTTCCGAGGGGGAGGGTGGGGTTCACTTTGTTCGGGAGCTCCCGAGCGAAGAGAACCCCACCCTCCCCCTCAGAAATCGTGGGGGGTAGGGGTAGGGTTCGCATCTGGCCCCCTAAAGTTCCAGATGCAATAGAAATCGATGCTTCCGCTCGTGGAGAAGTATTGCTCGTAGAAGTTGATGGAGCTGGAAGTGGTGAAGCAATCTGGGCGGAGGTATCGTTGCCCTGCCCAGGTGCGAGGGTATTGCCATGTCTGGTCGCGGTAGTTTTGCCCTCGCCTGGCCGGTCGAAAAAAGGAAGGTCAGAATTCAGATTTGCAAGTTTTGGCCGAATAGCCAGAAAAGTGGCATCACCGAATGCGTTGTCAACGTCCGGCTCCGCGTCCACCTCGTGAGTGCCAGTGAAAATCTTGAGTGTAACAGAAGATGGGGTACAACCTGGAATATCTGAGGCTCTCGCGTCGGCTCCGGCACCGGACAGATAAATCCATGTAGTAGGTGCATCCAGTGTTCGCTGTGCATCATATTTTGACGCTTTGCCTTTGGAGTTTCCTTGTGCTTCGCCTTTCGTTCCCTGATCTGCTCGATGAATGGTCCCATCGCATTTTGCTGCCAACTCTGCAAGTTTCTGGTGGTTTTGCAGATCGCCCCAAGACTTCAAAGTGTCCTCCCACAACTTTTCAATTGCCGTGTTATGCACATTTGCAATTCAAGCCGATTGATCATCAACTTCTAACGTGTATGGCGCTTCGCTTGAGACCTTGATCGTGCATGGACTCTGCAATTCATCTTTGAGTAAATCTTGCACCCCTATGCAATCGTTACGGGCCTCACGGTCAGCTGGTTCTCCTTCTTAAGTTGCCCAGACAAGTTTACTCCCACGTTTGAGGCCGCC